TAATATATTTGATACATTTAAAAAATCTTGCAATTTTGAATAACATATTGAGTATAAAATTCTGTATATAAATACGTCATAATAATTGAATAACGTTAATAATGTTTTAGTAATAATATTGTAGATAGTACTAAATTCCTTTGATATATCAATATATACGCAAGTTATCAAAGTTGTTTACACTATTGGAAGATATGTATCATTTGAGAAAAGCATTATACTTAAATCACATTACACTATCTTTTATACAACATCGCAGGATGAATGACGCATGTTAGTAGAAAGCTGTTGACAACGATACGCTTTATTTTACTTGTAACGTATTGTAACCGTTTAACTATTTCTAATATTTTACTAAAAGTTAATTGATTTTTAATAGTATATATTTCATAAAGTAACATGTTTGCAAAGAAAGAAAAATCGAAACGGCAAACACGACCTGCTGGTAGTCTAGCACAGGTATTATCTCCTTGTATTTTTAACCTTACTTTTTAATTGATAACATTTTTTTCAAACACAATATTTTTTAACAGTATGGGATTTTTGAAGTACCCGAAACTTTAGACGATATAGGTAACGATTTCATGAATGATGATGGTGATGATGATTTAGAATCTGAATTAGCAGCTTTAACAGCTAGTGATAATAATGGTCAGAAAACTAGACGTAAAGGTAAGTAAATATTTCTTTTGTATTTGTACAGAACTGAATTGTAAGTGCAATGATAATACATTGCATTATTTATACAGCACCTCGTAAACCAGTTCCTAAAGAAAATTTAGATACAATGATAGCTGAAAGTATGAAAGACATAAATTTTGAAGAAGAGGTGTCAGATGGAGAAAATAATTTTAGATATTTTATTTCCTGTTAGAGTGAACTTCAGATGATCACAGGTGATGACGATTCCTCTGAGGAAGTATCTCCAGAAAAAGAAGAAAATTTAGTAGCTGAAAGTACAGAAGAACCTGAACCACAAAAAGATAATACACCTGTAGAAAGTACAGTTAAATCATCCCCAGAAGCTGAAGTAACAGGTATTACTTATTATGTTATTTTTTGTGAATGGTTTTTTATAAATATTTTTTATTATATTTTTTAGAACAAACTATTTCTACAGTTGATGTTGGTACAACTTTGCCTGAGGAACCTACTTCTGTAAAAACTATAGATGAAGAAGCATTAAAATTATTAAAAAACAGGCAACAAGAATATAAAGTAGCTGCTGTAGCATGGAAAAAAGCTGGTAATAAACAGGAGGCTCTGCAATGTGTAAATATAGCAAAGCAATTTGATATAGTTATTGCAGCAGTAAATGCAGGAGAAGCAATTGACTTATCAGATATGCCACCTTCTCCAAATACTCCTGGGTTAAATACTGCTACACAACAAACTGAGAATTCAGAAAAAATAGAAAATGAAATACAGAGTCAAGCACCTGCAGGTAAATTTTGAAAGTAGTTTATTCGTTTGCTTTATTTTCACGTAATTAAATCTATTAAAAGTAATAATATTCTTTGATTTATTGGGAAAACAGAAGTAAAGCCAACAGGCCCAGTAAATTTAGATACTGCTTTAAAAGAGCGTCTTGAGATATGTAGAAGGATAAAAGTGACTGCAGAAAGTGAAGGAAATTCTTCTAAAGCTCGCAGATATGGTCGTATTTGCAAACAATTTGAAGATGCTATTAAATTACACGCTCGTGGAAAACCTATTGCTCTTGACGAGTTGCCTATTCCACCTGGCTGTGAACCTCTTACAGCTACAACAATATCTAATGTACCTGCTCCAACCATAGAACAAAATGAAAAACAACCAGAACCAACACCACAAACAGTTCCAGAACCTGAACCATCCGAAAATAAAGCTTCTCCGACTCCAAAAAAGCCTGTTTCTCCTCCAACTCAAATTGGTATCTAAGAAAATGTTTATGATATTTATCATAATTTATATTATCGTTATAGTATTTTACCGATAACATATTTTAAATCATAGAAAAGAAGCAAAATCAGAAAATATCACGTGTAGAGAAACAACGGGCTTTATTAGTGCAGCGACAACATGAATTAAAACAAGCTGCCCTCAATGCAAAAAAGGACGGAGACATAGAACTGGCACGTAATTATTTAAGACAAGCAAAAGGAATTGATCCATTGATTGAAGCTAGTCAATTTGGGTTACCGGTTGATATGAGTTCTATACCATTGTCTCCACGTGTAAAAAATGAGCTTAGTGCTGCTAGTATAGCAGGTCTGTCAGATGATAGTTTTACGGTAGTGAACACCGAAGATTGTTTAGAAGAAGCTACTGGAACGGATGAGGAGATTTACGAAAATCTTGTGTTACAATTAACGAAGCAAATTAAGGTAGAAAGAAAATATGTAAGCTGAATTGCTTTTATATATTTATATAGTAAATTGTGTAATTTTATCACAGTGGTGTTTATGTACAAGAGACCACTCGAAAGCATTAGGGGATGTACCTGGATATAATAGATGGGAACGACTCGCATTGAATTACAAACGGGATTTAGATATGCTGAGAGTTCGAAAACGGGATGCACTACCGCCGCCACAACATCACTATGAGAATAAAACCTATTCTATAGTTCAGTTAGTATAGCAACATATTTTATTTTACTACTAAATTAAATTATTATTCAATAATTAGTTATGTAAATTTGTTGTTTTATAAAAATATGTTTGTTTTACAGAAGCTGTACAGATTTAAGCGATAGTGATTTAGAAATTTCAATAATAAGAGGAGTAAATTATCCGAAAGATGCAGATACTTATGTCATATATGAATTTCCTTATCCTTCAGATAGTCCTCCAACGGATAGAACATCTACTGTTAAAGGAACATGTAATCCAGAATATGAAGCAGTATTTCCATTAACTATAGACCGTTCGTCAAGACCATGCCAACGAGCTTTCAAGAGACATGCATTAAAATGCCAAGTTTGGTCGAAAGGGTAATAAAAAAAGCTGTTTAATCAGATTTTAGTTTTATCTTGCAGTTCTACAACAGTGTACTTCTATAACAGTTCTATAACAGTGTTTTATTATAATTTTCGTGCTCGTATATTTAAATATTGACTTAAAATAAGTTCTGTTTCAACTACTTATTTTTTACATAATTAGAAACGTTAATAGTAACAGTATATGTATATCATACTTTATTGCTTGTAAATAATATTTTTAACATTTAGGGTAAAACATAGTATCATACATACATATAACTTATGTATTTTATTATAATATCAAAATTATAAATAGATAAGTACGTTGTTTACAGATGCTCGTTGAATCCCATCCTGTGTTGCACTAATCTAAGGTATGGAAATTTCGTACTTCTACAAAGTACTCAGCTTCTAAATTATATGTCAGAAATAATGTGCTGTCTTAATTTCTCGAAGAGTCGCTGATTATTGATCTTCTTTTCTATTTGTGTTCTTATTTTTTTTCTTTCCAAATATAATATTTATCACGTGATAAAAAACCAGTCTACAGAACAAAATACCTTGATATTTATTAAAAGTGATTTATACTGTAGATTGGTGTACACGATGATTTATAATGCATTCATGTTGCACGAGCAGGCTGTAACAACGTAATTCTTGGTTTTTCAATTGTAGCTTTAAATTACAATATTTACATGTTAATTCTCTAATGTTTTTTTTTTTTTTTTTACAGTGGATTCTTTAGGAGTGATAATCTCTTAGGTACAGTAACGGTTAAATTACAACCCTTGGAAACACGGTGTGAACTTCACGACTCCTTTCCGGTAAATTAATAAAAACTGTTAAAACATCGTTTTCACATGGACGGTTTAATTACATTGAAGAAATTATTATTATTGCAGTTGATGGATGGAAGAAAAGCAACCGGGGGAAAACTTGAAATAAAAATGCGATTGAGAAATCCGATTCTTACGAAACAAATAGAGCAAATTACAGACAAATGGTTAATTATTGACTATTGATAGGAAGCAATGGAATTGCAGCTTTGAATTTATTGTACCAGTGATCGTACTATTGAGGCCTCCGAAATGAAACTTGCTAATCGTAATGTGATAGAAATATGTATTTTGCTTGATCGATAACTTTATTTAAGTTCACGCAAATATGTATATGAACAAAATAATTTCTAAAATAATTACAATATAGTATAAAAGGTTTAGTCATTATAGAAATATACACGAGAGTCTTTACGCAAATTATGTACATAAGCACAATATAATGTGTAAATATCGGAATACATCATATAACGTGGAATTTATATACAACGTCATGGATTAATATCTTTTTTGAATTTAATACGCATAAAGAAAATTAACATAAACATAAAAAATGAACATGAACATAAACATTAATGTACATAAAGAATATATCCTCTTTGCTTTTGTACTTGAAATTACGACGATTTACAGATTATAACACATTATTTAAATGACATTGCATTAATAACTGTATAAATATTGCTTTACAATTGTTTACTGTTTAAATAAAGGAACTGAGATTTTATTTTAAATATAATATAAATAACCTTTTAAAACGAACAGAAAATTACAAAGGTGAAACGTTAGCGGCGTTGCGGTGTTACTGAGCTAATTTCAAATTGAAATATCTTCAAGCCTACCTTACTGGAAAGCGAACGTAATTAAACGATCGAGTCTTAAGTATAATTAAAAGTAATTAGTATGCACGTAAGAGACTATCGGTTGTACATATTGAGCGATTTAAACGTGGCGAAGGAACGATTGCGGATTGAAGCTGAATCCACATTTCCCGAGAACAATACAGCAGGTGAACCCCACTAACAAACTATTGTCTGATAATCGTTCAACTCTGTCTCCTTCCACTTCGAAGCAAATATTTACTTAAACGAACAATAAACCAACAATTAAACAGAATTATTGTGATTTTGATATATTTTACATAATATATCAACGGAGTAGTTGAAAAGAAAAATTAAGAAACACACGAAGTAGTGTCGATTTTTAATAATTTATCGAAAAAAATTTACCAAGAAAAATGTGATTATTCGGTCGCTAACTCTCCTACTGAACGATCCTTATAACTCGTCGACCTTTTGTGGTCCACGCATGCAAGGGTCACCGAGCTGTACAAAGGGGTGCTCCAGAAGATTGGTACATAAAAGCAGTTGACACCCACCGTGTCAAACACCCGGCTGGGTCTAGAGTGGTTCCCGAAAAACTGCTCGGTTCTATACCGCCTTGGTCGATTTCCACCAGCGTGGCACAAAAGTCTTTCCCGCGGCGCGCATATCGATCCCACCATTCGGAAAACAATGGGATTTATTTGCCAATTAGACAATTAGGTCGGCTGAAAGGGCGCAGGGTAGCGCGAGCAGCCGAAAGTTCGGCGCAGCGCGGCCACCACGGATCCGGATTACACGGTCCAGCGCAGAGTGTTTGACGAGCATATACATACCGCGGTTAATGTTGACCTTTCGGCCTCAGCCAGCGGGATTCTGCGTGCAAATTAACGATGTTTGTTCTCAACCCTTTGGCCTGCCTTGATTCACCAATCTCGTTGCTTCCATGCCTTCCTTCCTCGCCGGTTGCAACCGTCGGTTCTTTCGTGCGCGATTTCATTTCAGCCCTTGAGCATTTTCGAAAATTCAGGAAGCACGGTCGACCTATGTAATAGAAGAGTATTTCTCATTCTTCGACGAGCGTATTACGAATCGTGCATGTTAGAATCGAAATTAGAAAATACGTTCTGCGAGTAAGCTGAACTCTCGGGCTTTCCTAGGGAATTTCTTTCGAAATAGTTGGAAACAGGTCAGAATAGAAAATTGGAAGATATTTTCTACGTTGTCTGAAATAATGAATAAATATCACCAAAGTATCATACAATAATAATAATACTTTATCCGAGGCGAACCCTTTGATGTCTAACACGTGATTCCTTATTGCGCTAAGTAGCAATAAGGATCGTCGATGAGGGTACAAATATGCAAAGCATCTAGATCAATATTTTTGTCGAAGTTGTTAAATTATAACGACAGTACAATTACGTAAAGTAGCTGAAGTCGAATATTCCGAAAGAAAGATGAAAGAAGATCGGCGAACAGGAAATAAATATTTTCGTTCAAGTGATTTGCATAATGCTCGGTCTATATTTAGAAAGAATTTCGCGTCAGTTAAGCATATTACGAGTGTAAACGATCGTTGGCTGTAATCTTGAAATGTAAAATGACTTACGTGTACAAATTAATTATTCGTCTAAGCAAAGAGAGCGATTTGGTCGGATCGGGAAATCTCGCCACGCCTCCGATGTTCGTTTCGCGCGACACGTGCTCCTCCGTTCACGGCTCCTTCTTTTTCGAAATCGTTTCCCTTAGATAGAGTCCGGTTACGCGGTGTCTGCTTATTCGGCAGATGGCCGGACGTGACGTCACTGGAACCAGGCGGGTGTTGATTGCAGATGCGACACATTGCGACCCGACACCCGGGTTTCTTCTGCCTTCTTCCTTCTCCTCGCGGATCCACCTCGCGGATCGCGACGCGGCTTCGCGTTACACGAGGACGCGGCATCGCTCGTTTTTCGTGTAGAAATTAACGTCGCGTAATTTAACGTACGTCTCCGACACTTTGCCGGAACATCGCTACTTCTTTCTTCGAAACGAGTAATCTTAACCGGATGATCAACGTTTCTCCAAATGGTCAGTTTTCAGGAAAGAAATGGTAGCTCTGCGATATTGCTGAAAATGCTGGACGCAATATTGTGCATTGTGAGAAATGTACAAATTTGGAGAAAAAAAGAATTATGTATCGTAAAGATAATTAGTCATTATTGGAAGTCACCGTACGAAAATGTTGACATTTTCTGGGCGACTTAACCCTTCAACCTACAACAACGTGTCTGACTCGTGGCAGAGATTCTGGTCAAGATGTGGCAAAAATAGGATTACAATTAAGTTTTCTCACTAATATAACTAACTTTCGTTTTCATTTGTAAGATCAAGGATTCCTAAATGTAACTAACCTGTAACAGATAAGCTTTTGTTACCTGATACAGTACTGAAACATTAAATGGCCGCCGCTTATATGCATAGTCAGAAAAGAAATCATAGGTTAAGGGGTTAATGGAGGAAATAATTCGATAAACGAAATTTCAAATTGACACCCTATATGGTATGCGAGAAATGTGCAAATCTGGAAGAAAGTGTAGAGAAGAGAATTTTAAGTTAGTTTAAGATCCGCTTCGAATATACCGCCATTTTGTTGGCGATTATTAGAAGTCGCCATTGGAAAACGTTGATATTTCTTGAGTGCGTTAATCGAGAATATATTGTAGCAGAAGGTTAGGTCAGCATTTTCGATTGAGATTTTCGACGATCGAGACGATAAAAGTTCTATCTTCTACGCGAGCTTTCTTCGTTAACCTCATTGAGATGATAGCTTATTGCACTTGATATACGTCAGAGATGATCTATGATACACACATACATAGTTAAAACTCGATAATATTTATTTTAGAATTGCATTCATCGTTACACGTATATTTAAGTAGCAATACTACGTGATAAAAATTTGTTTAAACATACTATGTAGCGTTGAAAGTACAAATTATCAATAGATAAGACATACTCTTCTACATACGTTTCGAATAAAATAATTTTGAAAATATACCCAAATTATGAACTAATCTTTCGTAACTCACATTTGTAAATTATATAAATCATCTTAAAAACGAGCAACTTCAAATCTCGTTTACTTCGTAAAAGAGCATTTACTTTCTCCCCAAACTTCGTTTCAAATTCGCTACCCAGTATGCACAAAGTTGCAAGACCCGCAAAATGCCTAGCGTTAACCTCTCCCGATTTTTCACGCCCCTGCGCGACACTTCTGATATCGTCTCGAAGTTAACGGGGGCTGTTATCGCGGGGAGCTGTTATCGCCATGTACAGACGATGTACGAAGGTCGCCGTTTCGAAGTCAAGGAGAAGAAGGAGGAAGAAGTTTCTCTCTCTGTGGTCGGATGCAACGCGATCGGTATCGACTTTTCGTGGTCAGCAAATGACCAGAAGCGGCCACGCGGAGAATCGGTTTATTAATAAGCCGCTACCAGGAACTTGGAGTGATTTCACGAAGCGCGACTTCTTCGCGGTGTCTGCGCCGGTATCTTGCGAAGGATGTAGTTACCATCCTTCTTCGTTGTTCGACACGTCGCGATATCTCACGACTCGATGACGACGCGCATCAGGGAACGCGTGCACTGCGACACGATTCTAGCGATCGTGTAGAAATGACAGTTCATGCATTCGCTATGGTGTAGCGTGAGGATTTCGGCTTCTGTTTAGATTACGGGTGTCGAACTTTTTGGGCCACACTGTGCGAAGAGAAGAGATACGAAGTATATAATCTAGTTGATAAGTAACAAGGGTTACTTTATCTTTTTATCATAGAGCAACAGAGTCGTGAGAAATGTAAAAATTAAAATTATTTTGGATTTTAAAATTTTTAATCAAATGTGAAACTTTTTTTCACTTTTGGCCATTTCTTCCGTCTTATCGATCCTTTGAAATCATTTAAATTAGCTAGAGAAATTTTTTCGTAATACCATAAATGGAGAAGGTAATTAGGTGGCCTGTTTCATGTAGTCTATCCTGTTGTCACATGCGTAACAGACGTCGCTTGGGTTGTTCGGCCGTATCGACAAGCCGAACAATACACCGTTATTCCCAATAGACCAGCACGAAAATTATTTTACTCGACGCCTCTCACACTTGAACACCGCATGACCTAAGATAATAAACAGACCTTCGACATCACCAAGCAATATAACAAATCTAAGAACAAATTCCCCACCTTCACACCACCACCAGACACACCCCAAACACACCGAAAAAACCAATCACCACACACTTCCACCACCTACGACAGCTTCACACCACCAATCACAACACACACGTAGTTTATGAAATAGCGAACACCACACGACACGACACACAATTCTCCTACAAGTAAGCTCAGACATTTCGCGCTCTGTACACGTTTCTCAAATACGTA